GATTTATACATGTAGACAAGTATTGACTGTGATTGTGTTTTTCATTGTTTTTATTTCTCATCTTTAGGTCTTACACTGTATAATGACTGATTTATACATGAAGACAAGTATTGAATGTGAGTGTGTTTTTCATTGTTTGTATTTGTCATTTTTAGGTCTTACGCTGTATAATAACTGATTCATACATGAAGACTGGTATGGAATGTGATTGTGTTTTTCATTGTTTGTATTTCTCATCTTTAGGTCTTACACTGTATAATGACTGATTTATACTTGTAGACAAGTATTGAATGTGATTGTGTTTTTCATTGTTTGTATTTCTCATCTTGAAGTCTCCCAGTATTCCAAGAAATTACTGAGAAGGTTGTTTTGGGAAATATCTAATACATGTATATAAACTATAGAAGTTTTACTTAGGTGAATATGTTAAGATATGATTCTCTTACAGACTTAGTATCTTTTCAGTATTTGTGCGACCTCCTTGCCATGCAATACACGACTGAATGCACCTAGGTACACTACCGATCAAAGTTTGTAGAAAATCGGGTGACAGCGTATCCCAATATTCGACCGATTCTTTCTTCATATCAATATTCCTCAGACATTTTTGGTTTATTCTGTCCTTCATTAGTCCCCACAAATTCTCAATAGGGTTAAGATCTGGGGTGTAGCTGGGCCAGTCTAAAACTTGAACATTTTCGTCTGACAACAACTCTTTTGTGTAACCCGCAGTGTGTTTTGGGGTTGTTATCATGCAAGAAAATCCAACTATTAATCAAACATTGGAAGGATGTGATCATTTAAGATGTCAACATATCATTCTTTCATCAAATTTCCAGTGAAAGTACGCAACGGCGTCATTCCACGTGATGATATCCCACCCAACGTGAAATTTTGGGGGCTGTGTTTTGGGCATTGGGAGATAGGTTTCACGGTATTTGTTGTCCATATTTTCACACAGATTGGGAAACATAACAGAACTTTCATCAGAAAAGAAAACATTATCCCAGTCTTGATTTGCGTGAGCCTCTTACGACAAACACGAGTTGCTGCAAACCAATTCTAATAGTCGACTACGTTTATAGCAAACACGCTTACTGACGGATGTAACGAACTGGGTCTTTTTGTCCTGGCAACTTGCTGTGTGTCATAGTCTAAATGCGTATAACAAACTGCGGTTAGGAAGAACTAAGTTAGTGGTCACTTTGAGTTTGTTATTCGTTAATATGTTAAAATCAAGTTTGCAGTGTAAGGAATGAAAAAAATCTAACATTAATCAATACTAGACTACTCTCAACTTTACTCAGAATGTGTTTACTTTTGCCAAATGTATGTATTATGGGCCTTGGGCCTAAATTAGTGAATAAACCTGTCTGTCTGTGTGTCTGTCTGTCTGATGCTATTCTTTTCTCCGCCAGGCGCATCGTTTTTAGAGACACAATGGCAATTCAACTATGGCTGCTTATATGCGTGAGTTCACTGATGTTACTGTCAGTGACTAACGGATCATCAGAAACCATCACCAACTTGAAGAGGCTATTTGGATCCAAGATGTGCGCATTCCTTTGTAGACGTACCACAGGGTGCTCGCAGTTCCTGTTTTATGATTCGAAGTGTGTTTTACGTACCACTGAGTCTTCAACGGAAGGTGGTATCATGTGCACTCCAAAGAAGGTCCTAATACAGGTAACAAATAACTGTCAGTAGGGAGCAACCAGATGGTCTGCAATGTTTCTTGGTACACTATTAATCACCGGTAATACAGATGTATTTTCACTGACCTATTCTTAGATATGTCTTGCACACCTAAGAAAACAAATTAATCAGGGCTCTTTCCAAGTGTTCTCCTCCTCCTCTCCTCTTCCTCCTTATCCTCTCCTCTTCCTCCTTATCCTCCTCTCCTCTCCTCCTCTCTTCTCCTCCTATCCTCATCCTCCTACTCTCCCCTCCTCCTCCTCTCCTCCTTATCCTCATCATCCTCATCCTCCCCTCCTCCTCCTCCTCCTCCCCCTCCTCAACCCCCTCCTCTCCTCCTTCTCCTCCTCATCATCATAAACTCCTCCTCTCCTCTTCCTTCCCCTCTCCTCCTCATCCTCCTCAACCATCCTCCTCCTCCTTTCCTCCTCCTCTTCTCCTCATCCTCATCCTAACCCTCCTCCTCTTCCTCCTCCTCATTATCCTCCTCCTCCTCCTCCTCTCCTCATTCTCCCTCTCCTCCTCCTCCTCCTCCTCAACCTTCCTCCTCCTCCTCCTCCTCTCCGCCTCCTCCTCCTGTCCTATATGAATACCATAGTGTCTTAAATGGAAAGTGGTCCATTAACATGATAAATGCAACATTATGTTTGTAGACCTTCAGGCAAAGTTTAGGCTTGTGGGTAATTAGTACTTTTGGTTCTTTGTGTACATAACACACTTCTTTGTTTCAGGATATGGGTGAGAGCCAGTGCTGTCCGAAGTGTTATAAACTCGTCTCGTCGCCATACTTAAATACAGCTCATGCCGCTTGTGAGTAGTGAAGCCAAACTCGACATCTTCAAGTCAGTTATAAGTCCGCATTTTCGCTGCCAACACTATATTCTCAGACATGTTAGGACAGCAGAAGGTTTTAACTTCGTCTTGTAGGCAAATTGCCGCATGTTGCGTACGGCAAACCACATCACCTACATATTTCATGACAATTGTGTACATGGTGATCATCACTGTGAAACCTGTGTGCTGGTGGGTGCTACAAGTAGTGATAATCACCTTTTTACTCAAACATCAAAAAATTTCTGCAAACCATTTGTATACTTGACAACGCTATTTTGCCTTGGGCCCAAATTGATTCGTTTTGATGGAAAATTGAGACTGGATATCATCTCGTGTTGATGCTTTATGTTTAATTTTGTACCTTTGGCGGTTTTGTTCATTGTTTAACGCAGCACTCAGCAAATGGTCCAGCTATATGACGGCAGTCTATTCATAATGGAGTGAGTCCAGACCAGACAATACAGTGATTGAAATCATGAGCATTGATCTACTGATCTATGAGTCAGTATCATTTAGAGTGAGTGAGTTTAGTTTTACGCCACACTCAGCAATATTCCAGCTATATGGCGGCGGTCTGTAAATAATCGAGTCTGGACCAGACAATCCAGTGATCATCAGAAGGTGATATATCTGTCTTCAGCATTGACTAGTGGAACCACTGAGCATGCAAGTACATCACTGGACCTTGGTACTACAGAAAGTGGACATGATCATGCCAGTACCAAGACATTCCTCCGTCCATTGGAGCGCAAGGGTAGCCCAGTGGTTACAGCTCATCCCACGGAAGACCCAGGTTCGTTTTCTCATATGGGTAGAACGTGTCAAGCCCATTTCTAGTTTCCGCTGTGATATTGTTAGAATCTTGTTAAGAGTGGCGTAATAATAAAAACACACTTACTCACCTTCCGTTCATTCAAATATGCCGTTATCGAGGGTATATGTTAATTAATCATGTTTTTTTCCTTTTTTTCTTACAATCATATTCAAATGTAACTACTAAAATAGTCTTTCCTTTTCTTTTAATTATTTCAATCAGTTTCATTTTTGCAGGTGCAACCTGATTGTTTTTCTGTTCGTCAACGCCGACCCGTGCTCATGGGTTTCATGAAAAATACTCTTTAAAAAGTAGGGGAACTTCGATCATGTGGTCTTACGTTGATGTTGTTCTGGCGTTCATTTCTTCATCGCCAGACCCGAGGTTCTCTTCCTGCCTCAAGCGAGTCGATGGTGTAACCTAGTTTAATTAGTTGCTGAACATTACATCTAAAACTAGGACAAAAGTGTTTGAATACAAATCAGAATGTTATGCAAGTCGTTCAATGGCCACTCGTTACATTTACAGACCCAATATGAAATGTTCATTGCCACTAATTCCACATCATGTTTCTTGACGAGACAAAAAATGGTTTTGTTGTTTCTGAAAGTGATATATCTGTCTCCAGCATCGACTAGTGGAACCTCTGAGCATGAAAGGGCATCACTGAACCTTGGTACTACAGAAAGTGGACGTGATCATGCCAGGGCCAAGACGTTCCTCCGTCCATTGGGGCGCAGGGGTCGTCCAGTGGTTAAGGCTCATCCCACCCAAGACCCAGGTTCGTTTTATCACATGGGTACAATGTGTCAATCCCATTTCTATTCTCCCGCCGTGATATTGTCAGAATCAGGCTAAAAGTGGAATAATGAGAAATACACCCACTCACCATTGGGGCGCAGGGTAGCCCACAGGTTAAAGGTCATCCCACCGAAGACCCGGGTTCGTTTTCTCCCATGGGTACAATGTGTCAAGCCCATTTCTAGTCTCCGCTGTGATATTGTTGGAATCTTGCTAAAAGCGGTGTACAAATATCATACTCGCTCACCTTCCGTCCATTCAAAAACGCTGTTACAGTGGGTACATGCTAATTAATCATTATTTAGAATGATATTGCTGGAATATTGCTAAAAGTTCAGTAACACCATACTCACTTACTTACTCACTCACTCACTCACTTACTCACTCACTTACTTACTCCTGCCTGAAGCTAACATGTTCTGATATCACTGAAATACTTTTCAAACTCAATCCATCTTTCTAATAAAGTTTCCAGGGGCGGTGGGGTAGCCTAGTGGTTAAGGCGTGCGCTCATCAGGCTGAAGACCTGGGTTCGATTCCCCACATGGGTAAAATGTGTGAGACCCATTTGTGGTATTCCCCGCCGTGATATTGCTGGAATATTACTGGAGGTGGCGTAAAACCTCACATGCTCACCCACGCACGCACGAACTCATGATCTTACAAACTCACTCACAATGTTTCCATCTTTTATTGATCAGTGACTCTTGCTTCTGCACGTCGACGTCACACAAAGGCGCAAGACAACCTCATTCGTGCCTGTAGGGCAGGAGACTTATCCAAGGTCAAACTCATCTTGTCGGAAGAAGGAGTAGACATCAACTTATTTAAATCCCATCAAAAGCCACCTGTGATGATGGCGGCGAGGTGGAGACATAGAGACGTTGTTGAGTTCCTTGTGAACGAAGGTGCAGATTTGTCACTTGTGGACCAATTCCATAACAACGTCCTCCACGGTGCCTGTATCGGAGGAGATGTGCAGATTGTGAGCTATCTTCTCTCACGGGACGTGTTGGACATCAACAGTAAGGGACATAACGGAAAAACGTCATTGATGTTGGCCGCAATCCATAAGCATAGCGGAGTGGTGGACTTGCTTCTTTTGGAAGGAGCTGACATGTCACCAGTCGACAATTCCGGTAACAACGTCCTCCACTGCGCCTGTCTTGGAGGAAATGTGATGGTTGTGCAGCATCTTCTGTCACGTGGTCGAGCAGGCATTTATGCCAGGAACAAAGGCGGTAAGACAGCAGCCGACCTAGCCAGAGACAAAGGTTTTGGTAGAATAAATGATCTTCTTGCTTCATTTGGCGTTTACAAGTAAAAAGGGACACTGTAGGAGAAAGTGTATGAGTTAAGCAGAACACATAGCATAATCTTAATGTAGTGGGGTAGCCTAGTGGTTAAAGCGTTCGCTTGTCACGCCGAAGGCCCGGGTTCGATTCCCAACATGGGTGCAATGTGTGAATCCCATTTCTGGTGTCACCCGCCATGATATTGCTGAAATATTGCTAAAAGCGGCGTAAACCTAAACTCACTCACTCACTAAGGCAGTGTGCACATTGGAAAGATGTCTTGAATGACTCAAGATATATTTTCATTTAATACATTATAATTTGTTTTATGTTTGTGGTCTGTAAATAATCGAGTCTGGACCAGACCAGTCATTGAGATCATGAGCATTGATCTACGCAATTACATGATACCAATTCCTGAACTAGTTACATAATAATTGACCCACTTGTTCCAAATTTCCTTTGTCAAAAGACGAAAGAACCTGCAAAGATCCGTTTTAGAATTGATCTTCAGCAAACCGTGCTGATCCTGGCATAAATGGCGGTTATCATTGAATGAATATATGCCAGTGTGTGAATCTGATTTTGACAGTCGCCCGACCCCTCACTCATTGCCCAAGAGGCCATGTACACTTCAGATCAGTGTCTGGACGTCACTTTTGAAGAAAATGATGTAGACCAAATCTTGAGTCGACCACTTTGGTTGAACCATTTCTTTAAATCATCCTATAATATAAAAAAACTGCTTAAGTCGCGGTATACATAGTATAACAGATATATGTGATGAAAATGGCTTCCGAAATATACAGGGAACCTTCTTAGCCTATCAACACTTGTTAAACAATATTCCAAATAACTCGAGATATCAGATCAGAAACAGAACACTTAATAATATATACAAATATATTATCTGTAATGCTAAAGGTTCAAGGAAATTCTATGATGAACTAATTAAGAATGATACTACACCAAAGTCCGTAGAATATGGGAACACTGTCTTTCTGCATGAGATTGACTGGGTAGAGATGTGTTTAGCTGTTATAGGAAATGTACAAATGATGATACATGTACATTTTGTAAAACTGCCTCAGAAGATACATCACATTTGTCAATTTGTTCAGAATTTGGCTTAAAGTTAAAGAATTCCTGAATGATAACCTCCAAACCAATCTGACACTTTTTTAAATTCATTATTATGTTTGGACTGTCCTCAAACAACCAAGTAGTAAATCACATTTTTACTACTTGCCAAAAGATTAATCTATATTTCAAGTCTTAAACAGCAAGATATATTCTTTGCAGGATTTCTCATGTTGCTTGTAAGGACATCATCCTCGATAATCTCCATGGTATACGTTCCGATAAATCTCCACTATACCCTGGATGCATCTACGGCTCGAGCCGATAATTTTATTACTTCCCTTTGCCGGCTCCGCATTTTCACAGTAGCAAGTCAGATAAGCCGCCGTTACACCCAAGCTTGCCAGTGTCAACAAATATAGCGATCGCAGCCGCGAAAGTTTGTTCGCAGTGCGACTCAGATTTAGGGGGAAAACATACAGACAAATTGACAGGTCTGAAATCTTAAAAAAATATATGCAAGAACTCCTTCTACCTCTTTCAGAGTACCTCTGCAACAATATGTTATTGTGTTTCCAAGTTTAATCGGTTAGATAATTTAAAAAGCAAAAGTGAGTTGTGATTGGTACCCTCAACATCCCAGCGTAGACACCGGATTGGATAAAAAAGCCAACCAATGTAGGTAATATACTCATTGGCTCGACCCGTAGATGCATCCAGGGTATAGTGGAGATTTATCGGAACGTATACCCTGGAGATTATCGAGGATGTAAGGACATATGCTATATCGAAAGGTTTATTGCAATGAAAAATAATAAATTTAGTTGTTTTACTGGGAAATGGCATCCCTTGGATACCGTACCCTGACATTTTAATTTAGCACACATACAACTTGACTTAATCAAACTATTCTCCTATTTTATCAATAAAATGATGTACATATGTGCACCCTCATATGTGTATACAAGTTTGTACTAATTTGATGATGTAACTGCCAACACATGTCACCCTTTTGTCTGTACATGCAACTTGAGATGGAATGAAAATAAAGATTAAAAAGATGTCTGCACGTCGTCCCTGAGTCACGGAAGTTAGATAACTGTCACGGGTTTACATGATCCCGACTCTAGGAACTGTTGGAGGGAAATGGACAAGAAGGTAGTGACGACAATCCCGTTGCCTTCATCATGTATCCCCATCATGTAGATTTGTCAATTCATTGATTGTCCCATTGGACCATTTTTACCTTTGGGGATGTGTTGGATTTATAGTTACAGAAATAATACAGAATTGGAAGAAATCCGAAGGGATTCCATAAAGGAATTGTGAAGCTCTGATTGCAGGTTTGTCTGTGTGTTTAGCGTCTCACTCAACAATATTGCAGCTGTATGAGGCTGGTCTTTTAATGTTAGGGTCTGGACCAGACTGTCCAGAGTGCGGCGTTAAACCGTTTAACATGGTTGACACCCAGCAACGATGGTGATCAGAAATAAGCGATTCAGAGATTGCTTGGAGTGAGTGAGTGAGTTTAGTTTTCCGCCCCACTCAGCAATATTCCAGCTATATGGCGGCGGTCTGTAAATAATCGAGTCTGGACCAGACAATCCAGTGATCAACAGCATGAGCATCGACCTGCGCAATTGGGAACCGATGACATGTGTCAACCAAGCCAGCGAGCCTGACCACCCGATCCCGTTAGTCGCCTCTTACGATAAGCATGGGTTACTGAAGGTTCATTCTAACCCGCAACCTTCACGGGTCCTTTACGTGTTGAAGTGTAATGCTATGAGATGGCATCGGAACTCATGGAGGAACATAACTTTTCATTCGTAATTGCAATTTGAATGGCGCATACTATCAAGACCACATTGCCGGTGCAGTTGATCCAATCCTACATTTGGAACATGGCCCAGGATGTTATCAATCATCTTGTGTCTTCCTTCAGCTGCCTCCATTGGTTTTATTTAAAGGTCAAATGCAACGTAAAACACAACTTTGCAGATTCTGATACCTTTCGGTATGGACTTACCGAAACAAATCATCAAAAATGCAAATTCAGCTTATAAAGTTGAAAAATAACGCGATGAAAAAACCCGCGCGAAATCGTAATTCAAACGATTCACTAACTTTCCCCAAGCGCGTGGGGAAATTCAAGTGGTTTCAACAGCTGGGCTGCGCTCATAGCACATGCACGGAGCTGAGAAGCGGGTTGTCCGGTGAATATTCGTTGAAGGCTTTGGTGTGAGCTATTTTTCTAATGTTTTGTTGATATTTCACAGGCGCGAGCTTTTTATATGTTATGACAGTAGATTACCGATTTAACTGTTTATATAATTTCATTTGTCTATTTCACCACACGTTCTTCTTACCGACTCACTTTCTCAGTTCGATACTTAAAAGCAATGTCATTATTTAGCGTTGACAGAATTTCTAACTGTGATATAGATATGTCGTTGTCACAGACAAAACTCAGTGTCTGTTTTATTGGCACCTATGTGTCTGCCTGCCTGTCTGCTAATGACAAAATTCAATACACAATTTCAATCACTGACCACATGCAATTTGAAATTAACACCTATCAGGCTATACACCATAAACAAAACGCATTGATTTATGGCCCGAGTTCGGTCTCTGTCACATTATGTAATTACACAGCCAGGCAGGTGTGATAATTGTACACATGACATGTTATGATGTCTGTTGATTGCAAAATGTTATACACAAAAAATGAGCATGTATTTACAAAACCCAACGTCTCTATATACACACACAATGAGCCGTGAGGGCATCTGCAAATGAACCAGTCGTTACACTTGAGTGCACACCCACCCTCTCTGACTGGGTTCGGTACCCCGGCTGCTTCGTTTCTTGGGAAGTAAACCCGAGTACAAAATATTGCACTTTTGATTTGCGATTGTATGCTTATCATTGTGTTTTTATGTTTTTTCATAACCAGCAATGTATATTATATGTCATGAATAAGTGATAATTGTGTTTTAATTATGTTAGATTTTTTGGTTGCATGTGACCTTTAATATCTAGTTTCAAATAATGTTTTATTAAGTTTTTCAGTTAACATTTTCAACCTGTAATCTAGTACTGGATATCGATTTCATTACTATCTAATAACACAGGTATATTATTAAGAAAACAATCACAAAAACCATGACAATATTAATTATACATGGTGGTATTTTCATAATCTTTAGTGCTATTTTCTTATTTCACATGCTCAGGTTTTCGTGAGTGAGTGAGTTTAGCTTTACGCCGCAGTCGGCAATATTCCAGCTATATGGTGGCGGTCTGTAAATAATCGAAATAAAACGAACCCCTGGGCTACCCCTTCGCCCCATTGGACGAAGGAACGTCTTGATACTGGCATAAGCATGTCCACTTTCTGTAGTACCAAGGTTCAGTGATGTACTTACATGCTCACTGCTTCCATCAGTTGATGCTGAAGATAGATATATCACTTTCAAAAACAACGAAACCTTTCCTGTCTCGTCGAGAAATTTTCTGAGTGAGTGAGTGAGTTAGGTTTTTTGACGCTGCACTCAGCAATATTCCAGCTATATGGCGGGGGTCTGTAAATAATCGAGTCTGCACCAGACAATCCAGTGATCAACAGCATGAACATCGATCTGCACAACTGGGATACAATGACATGTGTCAACCCAGCCAGCGAGCCTGACCACCCAATCCCGTTAGTCGCCTCTTACGACAAGCATGGGTTACTGAAGTTCAATTCTAACCCGGACCTTCACAGGTGGTTTTCGTGAGAGGTAAGGGGGAGAGTTGTGCAAAACTCTTAGAGGATACAGTGGTTAGGGAGACAGTTGCATAAGAATCCTCAATGGTAGGCGCGATGGTAGGGGATAATTGTGCAGCCATTTTAAAGAACCACTAAACTTTGTTTTTTGTTACTCTTTTAACCATTACATATGAAAGA